TGAGCATAGAAAAGGAAAAGACAGTAAATCAAAGGAAAAACCATTCTCTCTCAGTATACTGCATAAGCCGCCTAGTTTGTGGGATGCTGGCCAAGTATGATGATTTGGAATGTAGTTTCTAGAGATCCTAGTTTGCATCAAATAGCATGAGCATGCTTGGGGTAAAATAGGGTTTTAGTTGTGCATATGTCAGGTTCAGAGTCCGGAAATCAGTTCAGCTTCTTTACTAGCTAGCACCTACGAGACAGAATCTCGCCAGACTAACCCCCAACGACAGCAACTAAAACCATCAAGCCCTTTGGGAGGGGCCAGTCTCTTCCTCCTCACTTTCACACAGTCCAGCTGGGGGCTGAGGAGATGCTTGGAATGTCACTCCCCCTCCCTATAACCTTGAAGCTCCCTTCCAGAATCCTTCTCGCTCATGCCTTCCATCGCACATATGGCATACTGGTCAAAACATGATAAAAATGACTGGTATTCCCCTTGCCATTAGCAGGGATTGCTGTCGGTGGCATGTGTGCAAGGCTTTTAGTAAGGGTGTTAATATTTAAACTTTTCTTTAGAAGAGTGTTCTTACATAAGACATCACAAAACTTTTTCTTTAGGGGAATCATTTTAGACTACAGATTGGCTTGCCCTTTCCCCCCCTCCAATTCTAATGTGTTCTTTTTCCAATGTAGTGCCCAGTGCTGTCTGCAGGACTACCAGATCTGAGCTGCAAAAATCCAGCAAGACGGCAGCAAACAGAGAAACTCTTTTTTTTGCTGCCATCTTATACTCATCTCGATTTCTGCAGCCCAGCTATGGCAAGCCATCCGTATACAGCCAGGTATTGTTGTTGTTGCCCATAAAAGCACAATGTGTAATGGTATGCAGGAGCAACCTGGGGAGATAGGAGAAAGAGCCACAGACAGGACAATCAGCATGTAAAAGGTGTCTCAGCCCACAGAAGGAGGGAGGGGGTGGGAAGCGTCTCAGAAGGGACCCTCCCTAGTTTTCCAGAGTAAAAGGAAAGGAGAGGAGAAATACTTTCAGTCTTGCAAGATTCTGTTAATGTAACCTTACAATAAAGATAGAGCTAGTACTCCTAGTTGTGCTTCTGGTCTGGACTCCCTCGTAGGGATAACACAAAGTTGTTTTGACAGGCTGGTCTTTTATCTTTTTCCTAATGATCTCCAGTATGGAACTGGTCTATTTATTTGTTCATTCATTCATTCATTCATTCATTCATTCATTCATTCATTCATTCATTCATTCATTCATTCATTCATTCATTCATTCATTCATTCATTCATTCATTCATTCATTCATTCATTCATTCATTCATTCATTCATTCATTCATTCATTCATTCATTCATTCATTCATTCATTCATTCATTCATTCATTCATTCATTCATTCATTCATTCATTCATTCATTCATTCATTCATTCATTCATTCATTCATTCATTCATTCCATTTGTATATCACCAAATCAACTACAGACTGGTAACAGTTTTAAGAGTATCTGTACCTTGAATCAATATCTTCATTTACTCTTGTAAATCCAAGATAGCTTCTTGGTCAGTCACTAGCAGCTTATATCTTATGACTATGTGCATTTAGTTGTTTTTTTCCTTTTCCAATAATAATAATAATAATAATAATAATAATAATAAT